TTCACAAGATGTTCTTGCCTCCTGGGGTGAAAAGAAACCCCAGACGCCTACCTGTGAAACAGCCTCTGTGCAACATCATCTCGTGTGCGCCCGCCTGCCCACCCTGTGGCGGAAGCATTGTTTCCAATAAAAATAGACAGGTTTTGCATGTCGCAGTGCAGAGTCCTGCTAATTACTAAAATTACACAAATGTGTTCCATTCGCTCAGCGAGAAGCCTCCTGCTGCTCATTTGATAAAAATATGAATGTGTGCCTTGGAAGGAGTGAGCTGACTTCCCTTAATTCAGCAGCCCTTCTGGAAGTCAAAGTGAAAAACAAAGGCTACAGCAGGGCCCTTGACTTTGATAGATTAGATCTTGGCTAGCCTTGTTTTGACTGCTATCATGAGCACATACACACCCCCACACACACACACACATAATGCTTTCATAATCCACAGCTGATGTGTGCAAGTTCTGGCCCAGTCCATATACTGTAGACTGCCATAAATATACCTTGTGGGATATGTGAAGTAATTTTAAAGAATATGAGAATAATGGATGTATCCTTGTTATCTACATACAAATGCTGGCAGCGTATAAAATGTACACATGTAGAGCTGAGTTAATGTGTTGTGTTCTGTTAAAACTTTAATTCCATACAACAATGAAAATCTGCTGGGTTTTTTCCATGCAGGGTCGATGTTATTTTGAATCTCTGAGTTTGACGTAAGTAGCCAGTACTTGTAGAACAGTCTTTGATCTCAGTGTGCAAGTCCTGATCTCCCCTGTACAGGCTTTAATCAGGGAGCTCAGCTCTGCCCTACCTGTGCAGGCTGGTTTTATATTACTTGTCCTCTTCGTGTTCCTATTATTAGTTGCTGTCTTCGCTGCAATGATGCCTATATGTATGACTGTGTTCCTCTATCTATGAAAAGTAGTCCCGTCTACAACGGACAGAGGATGTCAGATGAATCACTGAATAACTCCTGTTAGCATTTAAAAACTCCGGCTGTAACTACCCTGGGTATGAAGGGAAAAAAAAGCCCGAATGAAAACAACGAAAAAAAAAATACAGAGCATTTTAAAATTCGTTCCCCGAACTATGAAATTACGGACAAAAGGTAATGCTCCGAGTCCTGTACTTCAGTATGGAGGTGCGTTGTTCCAAGATCCTGTGCTGTAGATGAGAATAATGCAGATAGCTACAGTACACCTTGTTGACGGCCGACCTTGCCGAAGACACCGAACAGTCACTGAACAGTCCAGTTCTGAGAGACTCCGAGTCATTTTGAGAACCGGGGACATTGCAAAGGCTGCTGAATGAAAAGACGCTTAGCTCTTTGAAAACGAAACAACTATAATGAGTTTAAACATAGTTTTAACATCGGTCATAGAATATTTGCGAAGTCTGGTTTACGTAAACATGGAGGAAGAGGGGTTTGCCTACCAGACAGCAGCACAGAATTTCATGTATTTATAAACCCTTCTTAAAATAATACATGTGATATAGTTCATAACCGCTCGTGTGTTGTTTCCTTTTTGTATCTGCAAATGAACTTCGTTTTCTTTTCTTCGTTCTCAGACGATCGGGTCTGATCTTTTTTTCCCTGTGAAATGAAATAGAGCCTCGCAGAAATATTCGAGGTCCGATTCGGAGACCTGTCAAGGTTTAACGTGTTAATTAAAACAGTTATGTTCTCTCTTTAATAAACGCTAGTAGAAGCTGTATTTTGTGTTTTTTTAATAAAGGCTTAGGTAATGGCCTGCTTCTGTATCGTGCAGAGTTAATATGGGATTGTGTGTTTTTTTCCCGGCTCTATTGCTAGGTTGTGGTTTACTTGGAAGTTTAGCCAGCACCATTAAAACGGTCTGTTTTCTGTGGGAAAAAAAAAAAGAAAATAAGGGCAGCCTAGAAATAAGGGCGGAATATGTAACCTGACAAAAATAAAGTATAGCGTATAGTTCCATCTCTGTAGGCCTTTGTGGTGGTCGTATCTCTGCGAGAGACTGCGGTACTTCTGAAACTTGCAGGTCAATCGAGGAGTTACTGCCTCGAGCCTTTTCAGCAAATCTTTAGAAATGGAAACAATGCGCCTATCAAAAATATGTTTTCAATAGCGCTATTTTGTGCTTGAATTCTTCTTGGACCAGCAAAGCGTGCACATTTAAATCGGAAGACGAAGCATTAGTTCGTAAAAATTGGACTAAAGGTGTGATTCAGAAATATATTTTTAACATGTGCCACCTAAAACACTTCAGTGCAATTATAATTTCTGCAAATAATTCTAATTATTTACGACAAGCACGTCCTTGATAAAACCCCACCTAGTACTTTTTTTTACCAGTATCAAACCTGTAAAAATTGATATTGGTCTTTGAGTACATGGGAAAAGAGTTTTTCATTGCCGCGCTTCTAGTCTCGAAACCGATAAAGTAATGTAAAAAATGTGGATGTTTAAAAAGCGCTTTAAAATAACTTAGTGTAGCTTATTGGTCACAGCAAGCGCCGCAATCAGAGTCTAGCTCAGGCAGCAACTGGTTCAGATTAGGCGCAGGATGCCTCGGTGCGCTCTGCTCAAAACAATTACCGAGACACGAGGGAGGGACGGGCGCACCGCGAGCCCCCGCAGGACAGTCATCCGGCTGCTCGGGCAAAATACGTCCAGAGACGTCAAGCGATCACGTGTCAAATGTGTACACATATATATTAATTTAACAAGAATATTTTTTACATTTGTTTCTAAACGTACGTCATTGTTGTATGATTGTAGTATTTTTACGTAAAAAAATACTTAAAAATATCATATATCATATAAATCATACACGAAAGCAAATATGTATGTATTGTATGCGTTACCAAGAACCACTGTTATTATTATTATAAATGCACATTTAAGCTTTGCTTTTCCGTTTTTAGGATAATGCTATATTTTAATATAGTGTTAAATGTTAAATACTGTATCATTTTTTGCACTAAAGATGTGACATTAAATTTTTAACATCTTTCAATATTAATACTGACTTATAAAATACAACAATTCCAGTACGTGTAGGAGGTGGGTTTTGATGTAGTCCTGGAAAAGATCATCATTGCAAATCAGTATAAACGTTTACATAAACAATCCGAAAGGGCTATATTAACTTACGAAATGTCTGAGGGTGCCCGATAGACGACCTCGGATCTCAGTCTGGTAACCCAATCGCATCTGCAGTCTTACAAATACAGAATTAGCAAAGCTGTAAAGCTGCGAAAAATAAATCAGAAACACCATTTTACAGGAAATAAAAAAGCTCCAGAAACTGAAGGACCAGAAAAGTAACTCAGACTAGGTTCTGTGATAATTTTCCCCTAACCTGCCCTGGTGCTTGTCCGGCCAGAGAAAAGGGTGCAGGCTTCAGTGGGGTGGCGATTTCCCCCGCAGACATTTCTCGACTGGTCTGCGGGGTCGTACCTCTGCTCAAGGCAGGCGTGCAAACATTTATCTAAGCGAATTTATGTATTTGAAAGGCTTAACCCTCAGAATCAGAAAGGAAAACGGAAACCGTCGCGAACGAGGTGCACAATGCGGATCTCCGAAAAATTAGATTACCTTTTGTTTCAAGAGCTGCACAGGGGCTCTTAGAATTTAGTTGCTAATTGTTTACTTATCGCGGTGTAATTTTCCACTTTGAGCTCAGATATTAGACCTCAAAACTTCGATACTTTTGAGTGAAGACTGTCCAAAAAGTGATCGGTCGATCAGCTGAGGGACGAAACGCTGAGAACAAGGACTCGTCTAATGGCGCGGCTGTTCGCTCGAAGCTCTCTGTGCGGAAGAATTTATGAATGGTCCCACGTGAGTCCGCCTCCTGCAGATGGTGGCGTTTCTCCGTGGCCCAGAACCGACAGAACAAACACTAAAAGAGCACAAAATAAACACTGCAACCCAGGCCTAATGATCCACATCGCCAGCAAAGGAGACGGCAGTCCTTCCCTTTGCGCTGTGGCGTAGCGGGCTTTTATCTGTCTTCAAGTATCAGGCCAAACATTCTTAATATATGGTTTTAGCAAACCTTTTTTTCCGCGTATTTTTTTTATTAAAAGGAATTGCTCGGGGCTTTGCGTTGTCTTTCATATTGAGTCATTTTTTATTTGTTAGACGAAAAGTAAACATTTTCTTTTCAAAATCAAGATGACTGTATTACATCCAAATAAAGTTTCAGAAGATGTGCAAGGTTTCTGTTGTCCCATGAATGTCTTATTATCTTGCGATGTCAGAATCGGCGTCGTTTTTTCCCTACCGCTGTTTTTGTTTCACTTCAAAATAATCCGGACATCAAAACGCGAAGCTCTGTTTCATTAGACGAAGTGACGTTTCTGTTCACCAAAAGCTAAACTTCAGGTATTGCAGACATGTCTTAAACGTGTTAAGCTCGACACTTTGTTTTTCAAACTAAGGTTCAGCCTGGACTGTGGATATAGAGAAGTTTCAATGCGCCTACATAATGTCGCCAATGTTTCCAGTTTTAAGAGCACACTAGCGACAGACCTCAGTTATCGACTTTTATTGTACAAAAAACGAGCCTTAAAATTAAGCCGGTTGTTCTTTTTGTAGATTAATACCAATAGCGTTTAAATACATCCCACAAATACAAGCATTAAGTGTCCCTCTTTAAAATATAATGTTGCCCTTAAAGGAAAAAGGCAAAACGTAAACCAAAATATACCTATTAAAGGATCAGTGCCATATGTTCATTTCGGTCAATCACCGTATGTTTAACTCTTTATTTTCATATCATTTATGCGTTTATTGATTTTTACAGTCAATTATTATTGATTTCACTCCATTGTTTGCTAAGAGCTCCATTATCCACAATTACTGCTTTAAATATTATACTTAAATTACTCCATTCTATCTTACATAAATGTCACTTATAGTACGTTGCAAAAAGAATTAGTATTTTTGCTGTCATGTTCCAGATGAATCGCGAAGCGGTCCAGGATAATTACGGATGTTAATAAAAATCACACACTTGAAACACTTTCTCTCGCCATACGCTTACGTTTATTGGAAACCAGCTGAAGCCGGAACAGTATTCTCGTTACGAAAATGTAAACTTCAGAGATGTTTTCATTTGACAGCCTTCCTCTCAGTTCCCAAAGCACGATTTCCCTGTGAATTCAAACTCTCTGGAAAGAAAAAAACTTCATAAATTAAGCAAAAAAAAAATAAAATAAGGCAAGTTCAAAGGCAGATGTTTTAAGGGTTTTTTTTTTTGACGATTTTTGACGATGACAGTTCTGCCTCAGATGTGGACCTGGCGTCATGAGCATCCAGGCTGTTAAAAAACCGACGAGTCCGGGTCGTGAAGAAGAGCATTAATTCAAGCGGTGTCGTTTTTAGTCATCTGTCCAAATTAACGACTTGACCAAAAGTCCAGCAACGGTCCACTGCTTTTTTTTTAAGTACCACTGTGTGAAATTTCACATCAGAAAACTCAGGGATTTTAAAATTTTATTATAATATATTTATATATGTACATTGAAAGTGTCGGATCTTAGTCTTTCTCCTTTATGTAAAAAAAAAACCCTCTGGATATGGTTTTAAGACCCCAGGTCGACGAGGCTTGAAGTCAGCGGTCCGAGCAAGGAGTCCTGTAGCTGGTTCGGGTGTCCTTGGATGTTGTGTACGGACTGGGAGGCGCTGAGGCCGGTCAGTGGGTAACTGGAGTTCCCGGGGTGAGTCATGTTTCCCTGCAGCAGCAGGACGGAGTTCTGGTCTGGGCTCTGGGGCGGAGAGAACTCGTCCTCCGAGCTGGACATCAGAGACTTGCCCCCGTCCAGGGGAGAGAGCTGGTTCTGTTTGTTGTTGCCGGAGTTATTGTTTTCGCTGTTCTCCCTGGCAAAAGAAAAAGTAAAATAAACCTTAATAACAAATCGTACTAATTTTGAACAGCACGTTCTTTTTGAGCGATGGTTTATAATATAATACGAACATTACATAGGCTACCCCAAAATACAAGTCTGAATACCAGGGTGTCAATACCGGCAGGACAGCCTATCGAAGACAAGACAAACCTATGTTTTTTTCGGGGATTTCTATTGCAAACGTTTGGGCTGAGGTAAAAAACATGACCGATACAATATCTGTTATCTTAAATCAGTGTGCCATGGTCGTGTTTAAATGCAGTTTTACTAAAACTTTACTAAAATCACTTTGTGTTTTTATCACTCATTCAGGAAGAGACCCCAGAGCTGACGTTCAAGAGAAGTACTGTAGGCCTTTGATTTTTTTAAGACACTTCCATTTTCCCGTCGTAAGAAAAATAAACAAAAAACGCGTTTTTAAAGTTAATTTCATAAAGAATAAATGTAGCGTAATTTCTAAAATGTGCAGGCCTATAATCCTGCCTGGCAGTGAGATTATTTTAAATCCACCCGTTCCAGCGATCTGAACCACCCGCTAAAACAAGCATTTTTATGATGATATTTATCTTTTGATCATAAACAGTTAAAGGAGTAACTAAGCTAATCCACGTTTTCTCTGGTTGGTGTTGTTAAAAAAAGGACTACTGCCCAAATACAGTGTACCCAGGCCGATACAAATCATTTCTGACTATAAAGATAATAGTAAGATATCGGATTCGCTTTCATTATTTTTAATTAATGTAATTTCATTTAGTATTGTAAAATTAGTCAGTAAACCAGATACATAGGTATTCTACAACATAAAGGGCTTTGAACTTTTTATGGGTTTTATAGTTTTCTGCTGCAGCGCGTATGAAACTAAATCACAAATGTACCATCTGCTGAATGCGATGTTTCTGTTAGAATATTTCATGGGCACTGATAATCATATTACGTGCGATTAAAGAAACAACAAATTCTCCCTCCGTGAAATATGCCTGTTCAGTTCTTTCTCCAGTAACCTCCTTTTTAACAAGACGGCTTGGCAGAAGCCTCCACGTCTTTACGAAGATTTCTCCTCTGTTATGAAGAGCGATTTCCCTGTCAAAAGATGTCGTACTGCTCTTTCAGAAAACTGTGGGGCTGAGGGCAGCGCAGAAATATCCTACTGTTCGTCCCAGGCATTCCTGGACGACGACAGCAACCTCGCGAAGGGGCCGAAGGGCGATAATAACGTAAGAATAACCGGGGATTCAATAATTTCGCGCGAGAAAGCGATTTTTAGAACACATTTCTTACCTTTCCTTCGCCTCCGCGGCTCGGTCTCTCTGCCTCCTGTTTTTGAACCAGTTACTGACTTGCGTGGTGGTCAGTCCCGTGGCCTCGGCCAGCTCCCTCTTCTCCCGGGGAGAAGGGTAGGGGTTGTGGGTGTACCACTCTCTCAGGACCCCCCGGGACTTCTCCTTGAAGCAGTAACTCGTCTCCTCGCCGTCCCAGATCGTCCGGGGCAAGGGGAATTTCCTCCGGACCCGGTATTTCCCGACTGCGCCGAGCGGTCGCCCCCGGAGCTTCTCCGCCTCCACGTAGTGCGCCTTCAGCCAGAGCTGCTGCAGCTTCGGGTGGTTGTGCGGGGAGAACTGGTGGCTCTCCAGGATCTTGTAGAGCTCCCTGAAGTTTCCGCGGTGGAAGGCCACCACCGCCTTGGCCTTGAGCACGCTCTCGTTCTTGTGGAGGTGGTCGCAGGCGGGCAGCGACCAGAGAAACCGTCCCAACCTCTCCAGGTTCCCCCCTTGCTGGAGCACCTCGCACACGCACGCCACTTGCTCCTGGGTGAAGCCAAAGGAGGGCAGCATTGACATAATGTCTGGACGTTGGGTTGTATCCCCCCTCGCACCAAAACGATCTCTCCCCTGGAAAAAAGAAAAAGGAACAGAACGACGAGAGGATCGGGCACGAAACGCGCGTGTCGAGCCTATTAATATCTTCTGCTGTTGTGGCGCTGGTTGTGTTTTTCTTTTTTTGTTGTTGTTGTTGTTGTTCACCGAATTTAAAAAAAAAAACCCCAGCGTGCAATCCCGTAGGGCGATATCCACCGCTCCGCGAGTTTGGGATGTTGATTGTTGGGACAATTTGTTCCTGTTCAAGTTATGTCAGGCTTAAAGCGCGCGGAGCGGCGCTCTGATTGGCTCGCGGGCCGCCCTATCCTCGCGGCAGAGCCGAGCGAAGTTTGCAGCTCCGTTTCCTCCGGGGGAGAGACGTCAGGCGCTGAAACTCGAGCCCCCTTCTCAAGTGTTACCTGAGGGAGCGGGGCACCTCGATACAAATCAATTATTACAGACCTTTAAAGCCCATTTTCATTGTGCTCTCCTCCTAGACCTGCTCCTTTTTTTTTTGGTCAGCGTATATTTAATTACGTTAATTCTGTCGATGAATTTTTCATGAATTGATAAACGGCCTAAGGAGTTTATTGGATTTTAATACATTATTAATCATCACCTAGACTAGTTTTAGAGACCCCTCGCATAAAACGCGCAGTATTTTTCCTCACTTTGCTTCTTTGCCTATTAATAGTCATGGAGTGATTTTTTATTAGGTTATGTAGTTTAATGGCTTCAGGCGATATTTCATGGTGAGAGCTGCGCTGCGCTTTAACTCGGGGTGAAAGAGGCTGTGGTTAATAGAGACAGAGAAGGGAAAGCCGCAGCAGGACTGTTCGGTGGGGAGAGGCAATGTCTGGGTTTGACAGGAAAGCAAGAGGCTAGCGGGTCAATTTTTAGTAGCTTTTAAAGGTGGTAGCTGCTGTACAATTGTTGCTAAGAAGAGGACAATTGAAGTCTTAAGGATTCGAAATCCTCCTTTACATTTCAGCTGGAGCGCCGCATTAAACAGCTCCAGCAAACAATTAGCCTCCTATCATCAGAGATAATCTATTGTCAGCCGCTAGATACCGAGATAACAGCACTCCTCGCCGAGTAAATTGCACCTTTGTTAAAATATAGCTTATTGGAACTGTTAATTAAGAATGTCAAATCCCCGCACCTCCAGCGCACACGCCAAAACCACATAAATATACTGAAGAGTGGCAGAGGGAAAAGCGGGTTACAGACTGAAGATGGAGCTGCGAGATGATCCGAAAACATTCTGGAGGAACTGAGAACGTCGAGTATTTTTTTTTAATACAGCAAGTGTTCGTGACGTTTAAAATGGTGATTACAACGAGAACCGTTTAGGGTGTATTTGTTTTCCAAATCGCAGTTTCCATCGTGTTAACTTGCCAACAGATAACCGAGTAGCTGGGTTAGGACTTGTTACTAAGAAGTAGCAGTCGAGTACAGCTGAACCCGCTGCGATGGTCTCACTCTAACTCCTGACCCATTCTGTAGTTGTGTTGTTGTTGTTGTTGTTGTTGTTGTTGTTGTTGTTGTTGTTGTCCTCTCAGGGACTGTTCTCTGGAGGTGATGCTCAGAATTAGACCCGGAAATGATCTCTTTGGACCAGCGTGCGGGTCCCGAGTTCGTGGTGGTCTGGAGAGAGCAGTGTGAGGAATCGCGCTATGCACAGAATCTCTTTTTGTCCAAAATCAAGGCGCAGGATCACACATACGAATCCTTGATCTTATGCCGTGCTTTGCTCTCAGCGATTGCGAATAGAGTCGTGAGTCCTCTTGAAATGCCATGTGTGCAATCTTGTGCACACCACTCATGTTCCTATTTCTTCCTTATGAGGCCCGTGGGACCTCGGGGTTCTGTGACGGTCCACGGGACTGCAGAGTATGTCACACCACAGTGGTCACCTTAGAAACACGTTATCCTTGCTTTCACTTCGGAAGTTTGTATTTACGCCTGCTCTTCTGACCGAGCCGCGTGTTGTGGCGCACTTCAAGAGAATGCGGAATTTATGAATTCTCCAATTATTCTGAAGCTGGCGTTTTAAAAAAATCAATTCGAAAACAACAGAATAATGTATTCTAATGTCCATATTTCCTTTTGAAGTTATCCCAGTGCCCTTGCTGTGTTTCTTTTCTCATCCCCATTTCACATCTTGAATTTGATGTGACAGGGTGGGAAGAGTGACCTCGTGGTGCTCGGAGTTTGTGTTTGTGCCATTACCTTCATCTGTTACAGCAGCGAGCAGTAAGGTGTCGAGAATCACTGTTCACAGACTTACAAAACCCAATAAAGACACCGACATGATATACATATATAGTTGGGGTTGAAATGTCCAGGCTGCGAACAACTGGGTCTTGACATTTAGGTTTCTCCAGCAGTGAAACATTTGCGACAGACGTGCAAGATGTGCGTCCTTAGAAGGGGCCTTTTAAACGGTAGATTTTTCTTTCTCTCCGTTGTCAGAGTTTCGTTTTGCTCTCCTCACTTGATTATTTCTAGATGAGTTACTGGTCCACGCCCAGGGCTTTTAGACAGTTGGTGCGGTGCGGAGTCACCCGTTGCAGACACAGCTTCATGCATTTTATATATCAGCAGTTAAAGGGTGCGTCTAGATGAGAAAGATCCCCTTTGCCCAGATTTTTTTCTGCTTTTTTTCCCTCTCCCCTCTGTACAGTGAAATATAAAACCAGTCCATTAGTAAATGAGTTCTGTGTTTTGCGAGCTCTTTGCTGTCCAGCCGCTGTTTTAAAGAATAGATCACATTTCTCTATCTTCACCGAGATCTGCAACGTGACACCGGCGCAACATCCACCCGCCCGGAATGGAGCACTTTTTTTTTTCTTCAGAAAAGCGTTTCACCTCCAAACGTAAAAAAAAAAAAAAATCAGGTTCTGGACACGGGTACATTTGAATTTTTATGTTGCAGAATCGTTTTTTGTTTTTGCTTTGTTTTCTTTGCGAGACAATTCCACAGTGAGTCCTGTTGGCCGCCCGCTCGCTGGTTTAAAATAAAGCGAGGCTTTAATTAGTTTTAGCGGCCGTTCCAGACACCTGTAAAAACAAACTTTGCCAGGGTCTCAGGGGGATTGAAACAAGCGGAGGCTCCTGAAATCTGTCCTATTTGGTCTGGCTTTTGAGGATAATGTAATATTCCGACGGATCACATTTGGCTTGTGGATTTACGTTCCATTCGCCATAGGAAACAAAAACAGCACGAATTATATTTCAAGAATGTTAAAGTGCTCACTGTAATGCGATTTATCATTATAATTAGCATTTAAACTTCCAGATAAAGCGTATGATTCTATGCATGTTTTTAATCATTCTTTAACTGCGTAGGCCGTGTTTTGTATATTTGTTCCCTTCTTACCATAACGGATATTATATTGCGTTGTGGTACTTGCACCACTCTATTTTATTTTAATGAAACAAAGTATATTAAAAAAAACTCAATTTTAATTCTGGAGGGCACGTCACGGAGAAACTATACCCTGATGTTTTGTTTAAAGCACACGCGGTAGCGAACCCCAAGCAAGGTCTACAATCTGCTGAGAATTTAACGCCGGTGTTACAGCACAATATTGCTCCGTCCCTCATTCATTTTAAAATGAAGCTGCAAAAAGTCTGTGGGGAAAATAAAAAAAATATATGCGAAAATAATTACAAAAACTATTAACATTGTTTAGTGTATCGATAAAAAAAAAACATTTCTCATGCTGTACAAATTTGAATTCCACGTTTGACGAGAACCAACCAGTTCTCTGTGACTTATACAGTACGTGACCTATTAAAATTCGGCCAGAAATTAAAATGGTTTTATTTCATAACATATAACTCATTCCCCTCTTCGCTGGACGAGGAAGGGAACGCAGCCGCCGCGCGAAGATATCACGCGTGTAAAAAGACTTGTACTAACAAGTAACAAGAGTTGTGCAGAAACCCGAGACAAACACAACTGGTTCAGTGGAGCGGCGTGATATTCCAGTGCGATGGTTTTTGAAGGCGGCGATCTTGACTGTCAGAGGTACCACACTGGTTTAAAACAGGGCCGGAGTTTATTTATTCATTTATACAGCCAGTATCAATATGAATTCAGGAGACACGGTAGGCTTAATATAGATACTCCGCAGACTACAGCTGGATTCGGGTCATTGGAAAATAGCCCTAACGGTTTTATAATTTGACTTTAAAATGTCCAGTGAAGAAAATTATTCTCAATACAATCCACGGCCTCACCGAATACAATTGTGTTTGTTTTGCGGTAAGGTACACTACGTCAGAAATACTTCCTTTCCGCGGTAAAATGAAGCAATACGGCGAGAATATGCAGGTAAAAGCGTCTTTCCTAAAGCGGAGGCGATTCACAGTTTCGCTAATTTGCTTGTGTCGCTTTCGAGACGCGCAAATTCGTTTCCTTCAGCTCCTGCTCCCCGGCTGTGGTGTGGCGCGCGGTCTCGAGCCCTAACCATTACTGTCTGCTCGGCTGGTCTCTAATCAATTTTAACACACTGGCAATTGGAGTCACCGATGAACGGCTCTCGGGTTTCTGTAATGTCTCTACCACATTGCACCGCGCCTCCTGCTACAACCCGAGAAGCCAAGGGGACGTGCCCGTTCTCAGGTCCTGATTATTTCAAGATGTGGACTTTCTCTGCCCTTGGGCAGTTCTGGCGGGGTCTTTGCTACTGCCGACTGCTTAGACGAATGGGAAGAAAGAAGAAAAGAGAACCACAAATTCATACCAGAGAAACATATCATAAATTTATTTGCACATATTATACCGCTAAACTATTTCACGCCGCAGTCACACAGCCAGTTTCTTTTCACGTTTTTGTCTCTGCGTTTTGTAAATTCTGTAATGACCTTATGTAATCTAAAGCATGGGTAGGCACGAGCAAAAGAGAGCATAAAATAGTTTTGCTACAAAACGGGTCGGTCACTCCTGTCGTTTACTGGAAATCTAAATACGTCACACGGGTAGTGCCTTAGAAAATCGCATTTGATATTTAGAGGAATCTTTCTCCCTTTTGTATTGCAGTTCCTCCTCGCATCTGGTTGCGGATCCCACTGGCAACAACATTTCTTCCCTCATTTTAAAAACGCGATATTTAAGATGTGTTTAAAGATGGTCTCACAGTTTCGGAGCGACGGAATCTTTACCCGCAACCAGAAACTCATCAGTCGTGTTCCGCACGGCTCTGTAAAATCGTTGTCAAGCCGCGTATTTACAGATCACACGTTCACAACGCGAATTTGACTCACTGTCCTCCAGTTATTCATATCCCACTAGTACACGAAACTTGACTCGTAAAAAGCGTCACACAGAAAGATCCTACATGTGTTTTTACTTACTTCCAATAAAACGGCTGCTGCACTGGGCGTATAGAAACAATGATTTATTATTCTGTGTATTTGATTACATATGTATGTCTGTGTAAAAAGTATACACAAAATGCTAAATCACTGCCTCTGTATATCCTATGAGAATTTTTTTTTAAAAAACGGAGTTTAATAAATTGTTTTCTAATAGGTGGAATTAAAAAAAAACATTTATTATACTTAAGTAATTAAAAAAATGACTTTGCGGAAATACTGTGATTGGAGAATCATCATGTCCTTTACAGAAAGCTGCATTCACGTCTTGTCCAAATTAGATCTCTTCAAGCTCTTGTCGATGTGGACACCTGATTTCATCTTCAGCTTTTTAACGATGCCCTGGGTTGCGCGTTTCTGCACTGCCGCTAAGTGATAGCTGTTAAAGCAGCCTGCGGCCTTGACAGAGTGCGTGTTTTCAAAGAGCTCGAAGCACAGCAAACAATTCAGATGATGACATATAGCGTAGGAACTGGAGACGTGATTATAAACAATTTCCTGTCACTTGTAAAAATTAGATCATGTTTAAGAGCGCAGCGGTATTTCTGTAATAAAGCCCTCTTTTGTTGTCTGTTCTTGGTGACGCTTCTCGAAGTCTCGAAGGTGTGTGCTAATAGCAACAACGACCCAGACACTGTGTTAGGAAATCAAGAGAGAAGAGGCGTGTTAAAACGATAGGAAAAATTCGGCTCAGTTATTTTTTAGAAAGAAATACAGGCCCAGATAACATATCCCCTTTTTTGCTGGAGAGGGGGCTGTTTTCCCCCCTCGTTTCTACGGGACAGAGTGTGTTGTGTGAAACAGGAATCTGAGGGATCACGGATGGGGGATAAACTGAGGCAATTCTGCTGAGCCATAACCGTGAGGCTTGCAAATGCCAGACGAAGTGAACATTTTTAAAGAAAACGCGATTCGTGTCCAGCTGCTCGTGCTCTTAAGACGGTTCAATGATATTTGAGGACCTGGAGCCACACGAGGTGTGTCTTTGCTCAGGCTCAGTTATTGCGAGCCTGTGTCTCTGAAGACGGCGCCGACCTGAGCTTCACGGTGATTCTTACAGGGAGAGGGCGCCAGTCCATAAACAACAGCACACCGCAGAGCTAGTCGGCTTATCTACGAAACAGGGACTGGTGATAATTACCTCTCGTGCAGATGATCTATTGGGAACTGATTTTGAACCAAATCTTCTGTTTCGTGTATTCAATTCAATTAAAATATACATACACCATGCGGATCAATTACATCCATTCCATTTGAAAATGAAAATATCCTGGTACAGTACGTATCGCTGTAATAATTTCATGTGGATGATGCCATCTTTAAAAATAAGTTTTGGACGGTCCGCCATATCATTATAGTGCACGTGCAGCTACTGATTTCGTATGTAAAGCAAAATAGTACACAGGAAGTTGAGGGTGCTGCTAAAAATGTTACTCACCTTCAACTCAAAATGATCTTTGGAGCCCCCTGAAGATAAAACGTGAAAAGAAGGATAAAAGGGTACTTTTTTTTTCCTGCTGATAAGCTTCTAAAAAACGGACAGGTGGCTTTTTCTCTTTTTTTTTGAGCGCGGAATGAAACTGTCAAGCTTAAATGTCTTTCAGACAATGTGAACTCCGTAAGAGTCATCCGAGAATCTTATCGGAGTTATCGCTCCGGTTACAAAGTGGGCTCCTATTCTTGACAATGCCATTTGTCCAGCGCCGCGTGGGGACCAGGAAGGGCCTCCCAGCTGTTCTCTCGAGCGCGCTTCCACGCGGGACAGCGGGCAGGCTCGAGGCGATGGAACCAGGCTCAGGGCGGCTCGCGCACATCTGCTGCTGGACTCGCCGGACACGCTCCGTGATCCACCCTGACGCGCTGGAGCGCAGATGTTTCATTTTGTCCTTAACGCAGATCTCACCATTAAATCCTACCAGGGTTTCACCTTTCCGTTTCAGCGAATTACCAGACATGTGCTGGGAGAGACATTAGCTGTTTGCCAACGACTAAATTAACATTCATCTTAGAAAAAACATGTTATATCTGATATATTCACGAGTCTCGTCTTATGTTAGTCACGGGCAAAAGGCAGTTGTATTTCACCAGAAGAGTATAATAATGGATAATTACTTTCGATTAAATAATGTTATTTAATATATTATATAGGATGAAGTAACGACGATGAATCACAAAGTAAGCAAATAAATCCAAAAACAAAAAGTTAAAAAGTAACACAGTAAATTCGCATACAATATAATGAAGACGTCCAATGTTCTCTCATATGTCATTTGCACTAGAGGGCTGGAAATTTCACGTGCTGATCTTAGCTGGGGAGCTACGGGCGTCACTGGAGTTTACAGTCCATCGAGTGACAGAGACGGACAAGTACAGCACACCGCCCTCTACAGGCCTAGGAGCCTGGAGTCTGGCCGAGACGGCTCAAGCTGAGCCCCCAGCCTCCTAGGTTGAGGGAAGGCTCCGCTTCTCGCTCGGCTGGCTTGTGAGAGCTGCCGGAGAGGAGGCCGGGGGGTCTGCACCGGTGTTTCGCCGCCTCTCTCGGCCCTGCGAGGTAGCGGCTTGATTAAAATGCAGCTGCATCCCCGCAACGACACACTAACAAAATCAAACTCTGTCGACTGTCGTGCTGGACAGACTCGCTGCGTCCTCGAAACCGAGCTTCCCCGCCGTGGGTTCAGCTTTCCCGTTCCTAGCTCTGGTCTCTTCAAGTGTGAAGAGTTTTAACCTGAAGAGTTTAAGAGTAAAGAGTTTTAACCTGAAGCAAACAGAGTGACTTCCAGAACTTTGCCGAGACAGTGAGAGATGTGTATTTCCGCGTGTTCTAATTGTTGCTGTTTCCACATGACATCTGAAATACGAGAGAAGGCAAGTACGTTACAGCATCGAAATGCCGGAGGCCCAGCCTAACTGCGAACGCTCCTCGCCGTTTTCAAAGCAAACTTTCCTTTCTTTGATTGCGTTGTGTGGTGTTGATTTCCTTACGCACATATTTGTAGGGGCAGGTAATGGTTTATTTAAATTAGACCGTGTTCTTACTATGCATACATATTTTTTTTAAGTATACAAAAATAGTGGAGGGTCTTTGAACCTCTCCAAAGCTCATGACCTTTCCCCTCTCATTAGTGGAGCCCGGAGCTCTGAGGCACTGTGCGCTTCAGGTCACATTACATATGGCGCACAGTCTGTTGAAACGCATTAAATGTCAGCTTTGAAATTTTGAAAGGCTAAAGGTTAGCTCTTTTAATAAGCCCTGTTCTGGGGGTTCCCCCCTTTACTACCTCGCTGTTCGTGTTTTACTGTGCACCTCTGTAACTGCGTACAAAACGATACATCTGGAGTTTCAGATTGGAACTCCGAGCGCAGGTGAAGGTAAATTCTCCGGTTTTACTACGTGGGCACGAGACTAGTGTGTGCATATGCGGCGTGTCTTGTACTGTAACTCCAAAATAAACGACGGGTATCGAAAGGGTAGAAGTATCAACGATTGTCGCACTTGTTTTGCGCAAGTAAAGTCAGTAAAAACTGCTGGTTGATATGATTTCGATTTCGTATCAAAAAATACTTTTGAAAACAGCGGACAATGTATTGCATTCAAATGTGTATGCATGTTGTAATGTTCTTGCTTTGGTTTGTGTTTTACTGTAAATCGCAATAAATGATTCTACAAAGCAAAAAACAAAACTATGAAGATGGCTACAACTACAGAATGAACTGGGGGCACGGGCATCTTGTCATCACATGCTGTATAACCTACAGAGTACAAATATTCAGTTCAGAGTCAGTTGGTAATGGAGGGGGACTTCACGATAATGAAACGTAAAACGAACGAAACGAAAAAGATTTCCAAACGAGCTTCGAACAATAAACGGGATGAGAAGGAAAATGGGACGAGTCTTCTGGAGCAGTTCCTGCCCTGCGAGTGCGGTCGGCGTGCTGGCCATCTGCCGACGGGTGTTGCGAGGCGTCCCCAGGTACCGGCCGCCCTGCTCGCACGCTGTGCTCCCGAGCCCGGGTCGGTATCGGACGGTCTCGCCTCGCGCGGTGCTCACCATGGTAACAGACAGGGCCGTGAAGGCAGACACCGGCCCGCACGCTGTGAACATATATATATTTTTAAAATTAATAAACACAGCCCGCTATGGCTGCATCGACCCCCACACACACACAACCATAAATTATTTATGGACATTGAGTGTGGAGTAAGGAGGAGGGGAGGACTCCGGTTACTTTTTAAAATTTCTTGTCAAAGGGTGGCAGTTTCAAACGGCAAGTTTAAAATTCCTCTCCTTGACGTGGGCGGAGGGGAAAAAAGAAGCAGAAATCTGAAAAACTCGTCAAAATTCAGAGAGGAGCGGGGCAGTGAAAATCCCGCACAGGGATGAGGCATTGTCAACTTCTTTGGTAAGGAATATAATCCGTCGGACTTTCAGTAAGATCTAGATGGTTAGTTTTATTTAAAACAATCTTTTGTAATTCCAGGGAAACATAGTCTACTTGCTCTTTAATATTAAACAGTTGCTATGTGATATCTCTGAATCAGTTAATCTGATGCTCAAAGAGGAGATCACCTGTGAACTAGTAACAAAAGGCTCATTACCTGCAGGTATTTATGCCTGGGAGGAACACTGTGAACTGTGAATCAGTCACATTGTGTTGTGGTGCCACATCAATAGCAGTAATTCTTCCCATGACATTGCACTGACAAACTTGTAAAGAAGGATCGTCTCTTAGGTCACTCTAAAATTTAGAAAACATGAAGTAGGTAAAGAAAAGGTGACTGAATCCATTATTGAATCCTCTAGAGACGTGCTGGAAGCCCAGCAGATGCTATCATGCAGTCACGGTGAATTAAAAATGAAAAGGCTAGTAAACGATGACTCAGCATTTCAGCTCTCAGTATGACCATGGCGTGAAGGGGCAGAAACTGAAGAAATAAAGTGTGGGCACTCTAGACAATAATTCAGCAAAGCTCTCGGCTGGTAAGACTACTGTAAATGCATTGTGTATGTAGAGACAGGATGTCAAAATGTTCATTTTTATGCCTGTTAATTAGTATGCACAGGAGCTGACTGGATCACTTTCCTGTTGAATTATACCTGTTGTTCCAACAGAAATAACCATTACAGAGTTGAGGTCGCAAGTATGAAATCTGTCTTGTTGCATTGTGCTGCACTAACACAGCGTATCATATTGTAATTTTGATTTTTTTTTCCCTTTGGATGCGCATATTGCCTCTGATTTTTTTTTTAATGTAACTTTAAAACTCTGTTTTACAATGTGGTCATTTAAAGCAGCATTTACCTTTGCACTGTCTTTGGTAAGAAGTCATGCATGTATTTGAGAAAGATGAATTTGATTGAATACTGGACTAGAAATATATTGTTCCTTTTATGTTTATATATTTAAAAGACACAGAGGTGACCGGTGAAGATTCAAGGGTCGTACAATAAAGAAGGCTAAGGCCACTGCAGTGTACTGTATATATAAATATAAAGTTTTAATGGGATATAATGTTTAGAAAAATAAGTTCCAATCATTTCAGAATACAAACAAAAGACCATTCAAGCTTAAAAATCCTATTACAGTACTATACAGCTCGTGTTTTGTATGAAACAATCAAACACACAAATGTCACATGCTTAGTGTACCATCACCAAAAAGTGGAGAAAGTTTTACCCCAACCCAAGATTGTCCTATCTCTTTAAAAAAAGAAAAAAATATAAGGCACATACAATATATTTGGGAAGTACCGCAGTAGCAGAGCAAGCTCACCATGCAAAAAATCAACAAAAGAAATTTCTCCCCTTTAAAAAACACAAAAACAAAACATTCATTTTCATACACAGAGTACTGCGAGACTTAGCAGTGGGCGCCAAATGTAGAGTATCTCCCACAAAACACCGCTGTTAACATTCATATCTTCGCCTTGCATTTACAAATGTCACTTATTTACATGTGCTTGCATTGTACTTTTTACAGAAATAAAAACAACCCACAGAAACATTTTTTAACAACAACTAGGACAGTAGCAGACAGGTTTGAGATATTGCATTTGGTAGATTTCATGAAACATGTCTTTGCTTCCTTAACAAGCCGCTAAATTCTGTTAGAGACAAGATTTGAGCCGGCTGTTCTGTAGTGTCTGTCTTTAAGGTGGAGCAAAACAAGTTGTGTCAACAGGAGCAGTGTTAGGAAGACCAATTATTCTTCTTTCACGTTCAGAAGTTTGTACTGTGAGGTCTGCCTTTGTTACATTCTGCTGCACTAATGCAGCAATTCTAGTGCAAGAAGAGGAACAGACAAGGACTGATCTCATGTTTTAAGGTAGAAAGGCACTTTAATACTAAAAAAAATCCATCTAGGTAACAGCATAAGTCTTATAAATAACAAATATTATGCAACAAATACAATGGCAGCTGGGTGGTGGGGTTTGTTAAAACATGGGCAAAACTCAACATTCTTTTTCTTTGTTCTGCTAAAGAAATAACTGTATTGCATAATTGTTTTCACTGCATACATTTTCTTTCAAGAAATCCTATTCACTTTGATATAGTGCAGAAATATATTTTTTTATAAGATATCTTCTGCAAGTTTCATCATACGCAGCAAGGCATCACCAAGATTAAGAAACTATAACCTTTGGCTGAAGTGCATCTTGGCTTCCATGTGGGAACAGGCCACCATCACAACTTGACATTCATATTCATCTATTGTGACACTAATAAAAAGACATTTGATACATAAATGTCCCCGTTCTGCTTTGGAACATGATTTAGTATTGAATTGAAATACTACAAATCAAATTCATTTTCATTACTAAAAACCTGGAGAAAGTTGGCAAAGAACAAACAAATCTGACTGTGAAAATCGACTGGGAAACTTGGATTCGATGTATATGCACATATAAACACCTGTGTGGAAACTTCTCAAAGAATCAAACCAATGGTAGTTAATTTCTTTCATAAGAAGAAAGACTGCTGGCCACATTCTCCTCAGATTCAAGTGTACTTACTCCTTGGGTCAATCAAGCTAATTGTTGTCAATGCATTATTAATTTGGGCTGGGGTTGTGAACACAGTGAGATGCACAAGCAAATAATTTAACACTATAAGGAAAAAAACAAAAGGCTGCCACACAAATGACATCCCACAGGCAGATCCTTTGACAGAGGTTATAGGTCATTCATGTCCTCCTCCATCTGCACATTTTGTAGCTTGGCCAGCTCTTTCTCCTCCGTCTCCATCTCTCCGCAGATGACCCTCACCATGTCGCTGATGCCCGGCTTGGTGCGCAGGAGCAGGTTCTCCGCTCTGGGCTTGCTGTCCGCTATGGAGAGGAAGTTGCCCTTCAGGCCGGATGCGTGCGCGAGCGTGGGGACTCGATGGCCGTTGTAATCTGCAGAAATGGCCCCGCCCCCCTGCCCCGCCCCCATGCCCTGGTGGTGCGCGGCCTGCGCCCCGGGGCTGGCTGCCACAGTCAGCGTGGTATAGCTGGCACTGCCCACCGGCTCTGCGCTCGAGGAGCTGATGATGGTCACGGGAGAGGCCTGAGAGGAAGGAGGCGGCGACAGGCCGGCTGCGTTCCCAGAGTTCAGAGGGTCCGAGGGCCCGAGGACCGAGGGGGCGTAAGCGTTGTTCAGCGCCGCCTCGGCGCTCAGAGGCGAGGACGCGGAGGCGGAGAGGTGTGTCGAGCCGAGGCTCAGCTGCCCGCTTTGATCCAGGTGCATTCCGGGAGGAAAGGAGAACCCCCCCTCTGCCGGCTCCTGTTTGATTGCGGTGGGGGCGGGGGCCGGCGGCGCACAGGGCAGAGTGTAGAGGACAGTGCTGGGGTGCAGGGGCGCCAGGACCAGTTTGTCGTGCTGAGGGACGGAGGCTGAGCTGCTGGAGAACGAGTCTCCAGGAGCACCAGTGGCATTGTGCAATAGAACGTTACCTGGAAGGGCGATAACAAGAGAGCTCAGCAGGGAGGTCTACAAAGCAGTGACAGTCGCATCATGCGGGGAAAGGCCTTGGCTTTGACAGCAATGGAGCAACAGAGGGACTGCGTTCATTCTCACCCTGATCTAGATCAGTTTTGGGATCTTCTTTGACCCAATTTGTAAAAGCAGCAGGCAGCTCATGAAAACCAGCCGCGGTGTTTGCAGAGGGCTGTGAAGGAAGCGTGTGAGTGCCAGATCAGCTCCTGCCTGCCTAATGGTTATTTAATGGCAATAGCTGAGCAGAGGAGTGCAGTGAAGCACACACTGTACTGAATGGCCACTGGGACAGCCAAACCCAGACCCAGGGGGACCACACTGTGCCTGAAGTCCTGCTTTAGGTGGCACCATTCCACCAATCTGCATGTACAACAAGACCAATGACATGTGGCTGTGAAATATTTTGCGCATTTTTTTGTAGTGTATTTCACAATGGTATCAATAAATCGATTTAGATTTTAATCTCCAGCTTGATTTTTGGAAGTTGCATCAAGATATTCAGTTGGGTGATTTCTTATTCCACAAAACCGTTTTAAAGCTGAGTGTAACTTGATTCTTCTAATATTTTACCTGCGGTGCCAAACTCATTGCAGTGATTTTATTTCCTTTCTGAGCTATTCTGATATACTACATCATTTCAACAAAGGCTTGAACTTCTGTCAAGATCGACAAAGTGGTTTGGAAAGAACTAGATTGAGGCAAAGGATCTTGATTTTTCATCTCCTTCTTCAGAAGAATCACGTGAGGCGCATGTCAGCGTCCTGAAGGTGTGGCGACTGTACTGCATGTTTCCAGCTGTGACAGTGCTTTGCTTCTCTGTACAAAGCAGTCGTCACACAATGCAACTGCTGTAGCCCAGGGTACTTAACCTCCCACCTGGTTTTATCAGCATAAGAAAAAGCATGAGTAGAATGGAGTAACTACAGTGCACTGTTTGCGTGGATCACATTCATTGCAGACCATAAGCAGATTCAAAGGCGATTGTCCTTGGAGCCTTTTTCTAGATCAGGCTCAGTACTTTCCATACCATCCTTGTATATGTGACTCCGTCTGCTCAGTGTCTCACACCTTACCATCAATCACTTCTCTTGTTTGGGGTCAAACTAGTTATTTGACAACATTCAGAGGATATAAACATTATTTAAATCTCCCTCTGCTGAGCAGTACCCACACGATTGTTTCAGTCATATTAAAATAAAATTTTGCCTAAGCACTTTGATGTCTGCTTTTTAATGAGTGGTTTAGTACAACTCTTCTCCCTCTGAATATAAGGAAATGTACCGAGATTTTATTTTTATATGGCTCATAAATAAAATATTAATAACGATATCCGCATGAAACTAAGGAGTGCAGAACAGGCTGCCTTGTTACAGATGTACCTATAAAATGCTCATAAAAAAGACCACCCGCTACAGATTTTGATAGAGCTGGAGATGCATATAAAGATCTGGCCACAATGCAGAACACGCTGAACCGGTAAACTAGCTCACCTTGAGATACAACTGCAGTGCAGCAGAAGCTGCCAAGAATACTAGCTAAAGCAAAATGGGGATTTCAAAAGCACTCTGTAATGTTGGGAGGTACCCTTGTCTGTTTCATTCTCTGTAGTAACACAATGGTTTATAAGGCTGACAAAGTATTCCACATGCAAGCAGATCTCAGTAAATCTGTGCTGAGAGATAACCAGCAGTGCATGACACACTGGAGGGCATTCAGAGAAATTAAAATGGGCATTTCTCCAGACAGGTGAGAGACAAAGGGTGCATGCACCAGGACCCAAGCCAGTGGAGAACTGCCATTAGTAATAATCGAGTGTTAAGTTATTGCTGTGACTGTTCCCTGTACCTCTTTGCCTTGGTAAACTAGTGCAAATATACCCTTTCGGCCCTCATCCTGGTAATGCCCTTTGTCTTTTGATTTTTTGCTGAAGTGAGCTCTCAATTAAAAACTGACGCCATAACATATTTTCACATATTTTTCCGGATGAAAATGGAAACGTTCTGCTTATAAAAACACTACTTCAATCAAGATATAATTCTGCAGGAAGATGGTTGATACCCTCTGATCCTAGCTTGAGCTGTACCTCAGGCCAATGCAGTGAACATACCATGGGAGGGAGCTGTGGAGACAGGAGGCATTTGTAGTTGTGGCAGCCCGATATTTCCATTGACTAGGGGCCCATTGGTGTCAGCGGTGGGGATATGGACAAGGCTATACTGGCTGAGGTGCAGTGGGCCGTTGGAGGTGCTGAATGTGACCAGAGAGCTCCCATCCTGAGAGGCCAGAGTCTGCAAGCCCTCCATTTTGACCTCACTAGCGTGAATGGTGGCAGGGAAGGAGGAGCCCAGTGTGCTCATGTTGTAAGGCACGGCGGAGTTCGTCACAGGCCCATTGAGAACCTTGTAGTCCTTCTCATCAGACGAGTGCAGCACAGTCTCTCCATTAGCGCTGTCAGAGCTGACAAGGCTGTTGGTAGGCCTAAGTGCATTGAGGGTTATGGGCTGGGACCCACCCAGGTTTAGCCCATTGAAGAGGATGTTACTTGGAGCCTGAAGGTAGGAGCTGCCATTCAGGAACACTGAGGGGGCGTTTGTAGAGACAAGATTCCCATTGAAGACGGCGCTGCTGGCCGAACTGGAAGACATCTTGGCTTCCCCAATCTGCTGAATGATGATGCTGTCTGTAGATCCCGGCAGAGGATGGGTGCTGTGATTGGCCATCCCGTCAGAAGAGTTGGACAAGGGGCGTGGAGAGAGGTCATCCTGCCCCTTACTGGATTCATCCTCTGTGCTGTGGTTACCATCAGACTCGCTGCAGGGAACAATAAAAATAGTTTTAAGGTTAGTCTAAGGATTTTATGAATAAAACATATGTGCATTATGTTTTGCTCTATAATGTTAAGCTGCACAAATTTCAGAAAGCGATATTTAATAAAAATGTCCTTAGATTAATAATTTAATAAATTAAATTTGCATTACAAATGTTATCCATATATTAGGATCCTTTGTAGTTCATTTTACTTCCCAGCTGAGAATTCCCAGTTGCGAATTTAAACCACATGTTACTGGAAGGGTAATAAAGACGCAGCTGTATTGCAATATCACTGCAATGCCTCATCCTTTCCTGCTGTAGTATCCAGCCACATGGAATCAGAGAATTGTACCAAGAACTTGGCCCCTGCAGGTATGACCTCTGCTCGATCAGCCCCCACCTCCCATCTGGAGGTCTGTGCAGTACTGGGTAGCGAGACGCCAATTCAACACAAGGACTGTTTCTCTGGTCTAACCCCTGGGAGCACTGCTGGCAGTTTTGCATCTGGTTATGTCTTTTGTAAGGGCTCATTGTAAACAGAAGGAATGGAGCTCTCTGCAGGGCTGGGAAATGTCGTCAAGGTTTCTATCCTGAGGCTAAACCTGCACACTTGGACACACATTAAGCTTCCCACTGCCTGGAGTTTTGAGTCTTCCCATGTATCCCAAACTCTAGAGGTCTACAACAAGCTGACAGCGGGCCACAATGTCGAGGGGAGGGGAGGCTTGTTTCCATGTTGGAGGTTGCAGGATTGTTTTGTTGAAAGAGGAAAGGAAGTAACAATCCTTCAGGTCTGACAGGAAGAGCTCTGAGACTACGGTCTCAAAAATGATTAAAAATAAAATACCAGTACACAACATGAAGTGCCAGTGTCAAACACTGAATTGGCCATTACAGCTAAGGACACCATTAGAAATCCAAATAATTTACTTACATAAAAAAAAACTTACAATACTAGAGATAGTTGAATGAAATCTGAATTTTTTACTGGTTCGATATATTGGAGGAGTTTGACAGTAATTTGTTAAACAGAAAGTGAGCAAGCATGTTGTCACCCTGGGTGAGACATTTTCTTTTAGTCATTAAGGGTGGCAGGCACCCTTAAATCAAGTGTAGTTTATCATTGTGAAAAGAAAACTGCTCCCTCGAAAAAGGAAAGACTGGGAAACTCTCGTCCCTGGCTTTATGGCCTTTACTGCCATTCTTTTCAAATAACAAAGATAACTGGCTCTGAGTTTCAGATGCAAACTTTTATTCAGCCTAACTGTGGCATTGCATCAGACCGCTTTTATACTGCCGCATATAAAGTCAAAGGCAATTTGTACTAATGGAGTCTTGGAATTTGTACCAAATGTTTCCCACCCCTGGAGTGTGAACTGGATTAAAACCCTTCGTATTCTCGCACAGTTAATTGGCAGCAGGCCTTTCCTGGTGGACGAGGGGACTGACCTCGACACCATTTGGTGTAATAAACTCAGTGGTGACAAATGCCAGGACCACCGCAGGCCAAGCACAAATGGTCAAACAGAGGGTCTCTCTCTGTGAGCGCAGATGAAATACGTGCCTCTGCACTGTAGGAGGTTTTCGCGAAATGACTGTAGCGCGAATTCTGCAACTTACACAAAACGCTCAAAGCGCTAATACCTGCCGAACGCGATACAGAGACGTCTCTTTTCTGTAACATTTTCTATTGGTTAAATACTATTTATAAAGTAAATTCGCGAAGAACGGCGAAACTACTGGATGCATGTTATTTATTTAGAAAAACTTTCCATAGACTTTAAAGAAGAAACGTTGCCGCTTGTGTTTCTAAATTGGATTTCCTAATTCTATTTTATTTTACATCCTCAAATATATAAAAATAAAACATCCACGCTTTGGCACCACGCTTTAAATACGATATCTTAAGGGACGTGAAACAGCTGCATTTCGAGGCGCTAAAAAAGACCGAGGCGAAATGTTCACACAAAGAGCTCTATTGAATCGACAGAGTTCTGGGTTCATCGCCCAAGCTCTTTGCGTTTACAGGATACATTAGGCTTTTGCACGTCTTAATCCTCTGCTTCAGCGCATGAAAACCTCGTTTTCAACACTGTCCGCGGCTCACGCTCAAAGCCAAACAGTTAAGAACCGTTCTCAAGACTTTTCCTAAACTACGAGTGAATCCTAATTTATGGGACGCTCCGTTGATTACAACAGCGTCCTGCAAGCCGAAATGCCTTTCAGCACATTTGTGTGACATCAGCTTTCGGGGAGGGGAAAACAACTGCAAAATCTCTGTGCAAAAGAGGTCACCTTCCACCAGGTGCGCAAGAGCGCTATTCTAAGAAAGTTAAATAATAAAAAACAGAACTCGGTTACAGCTCTGTCTCCATTAACCCTGCAGTGCGGGGCGGTCATTTCCTCACAGACAGCCTCGGTTCAGAAAGTGCGCCGATCCCATCTCCTTAAAAACCAGAGTAAAAAAGGATGGAGGCGAGAGCTGTGGTAAACAATCACCTGGAATCCCTCACACGGAAACATCAAACATTGAACAACAATATTATAGTCTTTGAGACTATATCTTATCTGCTTTGAGTTCGTGAACCATGTGTAACGGAGTAGAGGAGAATCGTAGTCTAATAAATCTTCATTTCATAAACTACTCCTGGAAATCCCAGAACACTGTTTCGAGTGTGCTGAATACAGAGCCTATTTTTTTTCGATCATTTTAATCGAATGTCTCGGTAATCTAAAAATATTAATTGTATGAGTTACAGCTTGGCCGAAAACAATAGCTTAGACAACAGCTTGAACAGTGTTGCAGAAGCACAGCAAGTCCTGCCGGTTTGCGGCGATCTGGGTTACCACTACACGCGAAACCCGATCTGAATGGGAACAGCTTCAGATTTCAAAACATTAGTAGCGCGTATCTGACACGCTTTTCTTTATTTTGGAATTATCTTCGTAAACGATGATCACAGCCCTCGTTTCAGAAAAAGAAACATGCCGTTCCGTTTAGTACCCTCTTATTTGCAGATCTTACTATCCGGAGGGCCAGTACAGCCAGGTGAGATTGTATGAACGGCGGATCTTTTGACCAACAAAACGAGCTTATTGATTTGTATCTCATGCATTTTTTAGAATTCACGTCTTTCTAATCCATTCAGTAAGATACATACTCTTGATCCCACATCATGATTCAAACGAACTTTTTTTTTTTTAAAAAAAGGATAAGTTTATGCGCACCTTTTTGACTGCGCCTCGGACGGGTTCCTGTCCCGCTGCCTCCTGTTTTTAAACCAGTTGCTAACTTGAGTCAAGGAAAGCCCGGTGATTTTGGCCAGGTTCCGCTTCTCGGCCGGGGACGGGTACCGGTTCTGTTTGTAAAGGTCCTTCAGCGCGTTTCTCGACCTCTCCTTGAAGCAGTAGACCGTCTCCTCGCCGTCCCAGATCGTCCTGGGCAGGGGGTATTTCCTCCGCAGCCTGTACTTGTCTACAGCCCCCAGGGGTCTGCCCCGAGCCTTCTCCGCCTCGGTGTACCGAGCCCTGTACCACAGGTCCTGCAGGGAGGGGTGGTTGGGGGGGCTGAAGCTGTGGTTCTCCAGAATGCTGTACAGCTCCTGGTACCGCGCCTGGTGGAAGGCGACCAGGGCTTGGGCTTTCAGGATGCTCTCGTTGCCACGTAGCAGGTCGCTCTGAGGTAGGGACCAGAGAAACCTGGCGAGGCGGTCCACGTTGCCCCCCTGCTGCAGAGCCTCGCAGACGCACGCCACTTGCTCCGGAGAAAACGCCAGGGAGGAGGCGGCGGCGCTCGCCAGAAGTTCGCCGTGGATCTGCTCTGCGGCTGAAGTTGCCTGCTCCATGGACAAGCCCGCAGCGTCCAGCGCCAGCTGCTTGGAGGTCTCCCGCTTGTCCGCCTTCACATCTTCCTTCTTGATCTCGTGGGCACTTCTGACATCGCTCGAGGAAGAAGACATTTTTTTTTTTATGCTTCCTGGTAAGTCACTCCTCCTGGTTTCGGCAGGGCTTCAGCCGATCGGGTTTCCCTGCGCCATGCGAGCCCGATCAGATATCTGGCAGCGCCTGTAAACGGATAAGGCTCTCGCTCGCTCGCTCGCTCTCCCTCTCTCCCTCCCTCCCCAGTCACTCCTCTCCTCTCACTCCAACGTGACTTCTACTCCGCAAACTGGAGCAGGAAGGGGGTCCTGCACCGGAGAGCAACCTCATTCGCCCGACAGCGCTCCGCGGGGGAGGAGCGACGGGAAAACAGAGACGCGTGTTTGTGCGGGGGCCGCCACTCAAAGCCGCCGGCGCGGCCTGCTTACCTGGGCAAGGTGAACGCGCTCGGGATGCGGGGACACGCCCCCCATTGTCAGCACAGGCGCGGGCCGCGGCGCTTGCACAGCGCAGGAGATGCGCTTTCCTCCGGGGCTGCTTGGACTCCGGCGAACTGCACCACGGCCACAGAGAATCGCGGATGAGGAGAGCAAAAGCGCAGCGCGGAGCCGTCGTGAAATGAATGGAAACGGGGCAGGAAAAGAGCGGAAAACGAAATCCGAGGCGGGGGGCAAATACAAGCACATTTATGACACGAAGAAATGGTTTTTGTACGTGATCATCTGAAATAAAGCGATATCTGAAAATTCTGTTTCTTACATGGTTTATTTACTTTGGCAAGAATAATCACTTTCCACCATTATTTTACTTAGTGCAATTGTTGCATTCCTATGTGCTATTATGCGACATTTGCTAATTCTACAAATGCCAATGACCACGATATATTATAGTATTATACAAATATTAAAGATCAAGATAAATATATTTCACATTATTAATAAACTTACGATGAATTCAGGTGGGTAGCTGCGTCAGCTGCAAAGGAACAAGTAATAGCTCACACCTGAAGAAGGCTCCACGGCCGAAACGTTGTGTTTCTTTCTTCTTTTTTCCAGCATGGAATAAACCTGTTATCTGTTCCCTACTATGAATTCTATTACTGTTAGTGCTAGTATTATAATTGTGACACATGTCCATAGCGCTAATCATTAAGCGTTATATTTTGTAGACCGTTTTATTTATATTCTTCCGTTTGGGGAAAAAGTATAAATAAATATAAGTAATAGGTACCTGAAGAAGGCTCCACGGCCGAAACGTTGTGTTCTCTTTCTTCTTTTTTTCAGCATGGAATAAACCTATTACTTGTTCCTTTGCAGCCTACGCATGCTGACGCAGCTACCCACCTAAATAAATATAAGTATAATATAAATATACAAATAAGTATAAATAATTCAAAATTTATTTAACCTTTCAAAAGAAATGAACGGTTAAATAGAACTATACGTCTCAGTAATTTCCCCTTATTGGAAGAATTAGAAAAAAGAGGTGCACATGACTCCGAATGTGCGGCGCTCCTGAGCGGTGTAAAGACAGCCCCCGGAACTATTTCGAAGGTGCAGTTTCCACTCCGGAATGTGTTTGGTGTGAAGCAGCAGGGTCGTGGTGTAGGATGTAATATTCTGTTAACCGCGGTAGTGTAATTTATCGAAGGAAAATTTCAGTAAATCTTTTTAGACATGGATGACCAGGGCTGTCCACGATGCAGAACCACCAAATACAGGAACCCGTCTCTCAAACTGATGGTCAATGTCTGTGGCCACACGCTGTAAGTGCATTTAATATGTCGTTTCGTAACACAACAGCAAACTAAAACGCACAAGAATGTAGTTCATTTACAGCTCAGAAAAGATCATTATTCTCGACTTTTGGAAACGTTTTACACAACCGACCACCTTGTCTTTAAAACGCGAGGGTTTTTACATTCATTTTTTACCCCGATATGTTGGGATCTTCGAGTAACTGCAGTACTGCACGTAAATTGTCGATTTCTTCTTCTTCTTATTTGGATACGATCAGTTTATCCTCATTCTGAAATCGCCTTAGAAGCCGTGCAGGAGTTGGGGGCATAGAAATTATATTTTGGGATGGTTATTTCTAACGTAATGTCACTAGTGTCGTAACACTGCAAATAACACCCCCCTCCGAGAAACACTTGGAGAATTTAGATAGTGATAGTCGGGGATCAGATAACGGTTATCAGAAGCATAATTTATTCACAAATGTAAAACGTGAAAGATAACGAATCACTTGACACAGGAACGCAGTGCATAAGGTCTTGTCCAAACCGTACTGTTTTATGCAGACAAAGCAAAATTCCCCCATCCTGTAGCAATGGTATATGGGTATTGTCCAGCTGGCCTGGATAGGGGATGCCGAAGAAATTCTGGCCAGTTCGCATCTTTGAATGTAAAGCTGAGGAATAATAACAGTGGTTGTCATGTTGACGTTGTTAAATTATTAACCCCTTCAGACCTGTGTTGTTAACAGTGAAAATCATATCTATTGTCGTATTTTGAGATATAAATTGCTTAATTCAATTAGGGCCACAGATTCTTGAGACATTTTGTCAAAGCAAACTATGTTGCTGAGTTTAAACAATTTTAATTGTAATTTTAAAATGTATTTCTTATTTTGGGGCAGATAGCTTTCCTGGGCTCCTTTTATATTGAGTGGGGTGGAGCAGGGGCACTGTAGCAGACCTGCATTGTCACAGCGAGCCCCGGCATTTTTAAAGATCAGTGATGTTCGAATAAAATCTTGGTTGCTGGTATGTTTCATTAAACTCTGTTCATTTAAAACCGTTTGAAGTGGAGGAGGGAAGGTCTTCCTTTCCATGAATGGACGTACAGTGCGCGTCTGTTTGGAACAAGGTACCCAGCAGAGTCATCACAGCTTGCGCTCCAACTTTTTTCAAGAACAGATCCTTTAAGAATCCGCCGAGTTCTAATGATCCCGAAGCCTGATCTCATCTGATCTCGGAAGCTAAGCATGACTGGGCCTGGTCAGTGCAGAGATGGGAGACCAGGTTGCTTCTGTAAGTGTTGTTGGTGGAACAGTAGAGCAGACTCTTCCCTGTGGTCCAGATTTTCCAGGCCAACGCTACCGCATGGTGACAGGAGGACACTGTTGTAGGAATATTGATGAGACAGTAAGGTCCTAACTGCTCATTCTCACCTTAAACGACATGGTGCGGTTTGTAGCAGTAGGGATTAAATCCGTTGTTCTGGCTTAATTCTACTTTGGGATCTTATAGACTGGTCTCCCTAGAGTTTGTCCTCATTTAAATTGGTGAAGCAATTTGTCATTTTTCCACCTGCTGTACTGTGCAGGGGGGCAGCTGGTTCAGAAGAACTGCCTTCTGTCACCCAAATGGAGCTGCACTTCACTGGTGGATGAAGTCGGTCCTCTCCCACTTACACTGCTTTGTTCCACATAACCCTGGCTCTTGAACAAGAATGCCGTTTTTTCATTTACTTGTCGTAGTATATCGTATCTCACAGGACTGTGTTGAGCTCTTGTTTGCTTCATGTCATAATTTCTTTAATCGGGCACTTCTGGAGGGACGGTATGAAAAGGGTAAGCTTGCAGGGAAGAAGGAGAGGTAGTACTGAGCCAGATTAAGAAACCCATTAAAATATTAGCATCTGCTTTGAGTTTTTGAGGAGTTATGTGTGGCCAGACATCCTGGATTCCTGCTGGCCAGCTTGGTCCTTAGAGAGTCTGAAGCTGGATTAGTACGATTTGTCTGGGATTCCGTTATCTGACACTGTAAAGTCAAGGTACTGTGGAATAAAACCGAACACGCTCTCTAGGGCTCAAAGGCAGTGCAAGCTCTTGTCATTAGCTGTCAAGACACCGGTTTCTATATACAGCAATACAGTGCAAAAACAGTGGGAGGTGTATCCAATATGCCCCCAGTGCCACTTCTGACAATCTCCACCTATCTTCTCTCTCCAAAGCCTTTTGTTGCTTTTGGACAAGGAAATTATAATGATTAATAATTCCTTACACTTCATGGCACATTTTTGGACACTCCGCTCAAAGTTATTTACATATAATAGGGGCTCCCCTCCACCACCAGTGTGCACCCCACCTGGATGATGTGATGGCAGCCGGAGTACGCCAGTATGCTCCCCACACATCAGCTCTCAGTGGGGATTGAACAGAGTGGTGATGCCGAGACATTGATGGGGATTATTAGGAGGCCATGATGATTTAAAGGCCAGGGGGAAATTTGACCAGGACACCAGGGTACATCCCCCATTTGTTCTTGAGAAACGGTGAGAAAGGAAATGCAGTTCTTGTAATTCAAGCAAATGAACTTTGTTTGCCAATAGTTTGCTTCTGTTGTTTTTATAATGGTTATCGTTAAATTTGTGCAGCTCCCTGTTAAAGCCCGGTGATTCTGTTCCAGATCCTTGCAATTGGATTTTTTGGGGATTTGCGTAGTTTTTAAGTGGAACAGCACGGTCGTTGGGGGGGGGAGGGGTGCGTGTTGTCCGTCCGCGAGCAGCACTGATGCGTGTGAGATCAGACCAGCGATGACAGCTGATGGGCGATCTGAAGCAGTTCCAGTCTGGAAGGGGGCTAAGGAATGACTTGCGTCTAAAATTAAACCTTGAGCGCATTCACGTTTTTAGCAGCAGGCTTATTTATTGCCCTCGCTCTGGTCGCGCGGTCAGATGTCCTTTGGCATTTGGGACCCAGCAGGAACAGACCCAGCGCAGCCTTGCGCACGGACAGCGCTGGGTGCTGTGCAGACAAGGATGTTGAGTAATGGTGGCAGTTCCCAGAACAGAACTGACAGTCTCAGGGGTAGCGGTATGCGGCTGAGAGTTGCCCCACAGGTTCATTCAGTGGTTTATTGGCTTAGGTTTGTATTTTGAATACCATTCCCAGGGCCCAGATCTCAAGTCTGGACAAACTGCATTTGTGCGGTTAAAACCAAACAACAAGAGTCAGAGAAGTAAATGAGGTAACTGTAAAAATCAAGTGTTCATACTTGTATATATGAGCCGGTGCTTCTATTCTTCCTCGTTTTTCAAATTGAAGTGCAGTAAATCACTCAGACAGTCATGTCATGGAGGTTTTCATGTTTTGAAATGAAATGCTGGTGGTGTAATGACTGGTGAGCTTTGATATTTCTTATTATAGGCCAGGGGTGGCCGAGCTTGGTCCCGCAGAGCCGCAGTCCTGCGGGAGTTACGGGTCATCCTTTAATCAAAGACTTGCCAAGACTTTGAAGAATTGAGTTTTGATCAGTTCAGGAAATGAATTGATTAGTTTAAGGCAGGCATGGCCATCTGTGATCCTTGTGAGGTATGGGCTATCTGCATCTTCTTTCTAATATTCTCTTAACTAATTGTGCAAATCGCCTGCTTAGGTGACTAGAACGAGAGTGTTTAGAAATGAATGATGATCACTTGAGCGTAACACATAAATCTGCTGGATTGAGGCTCTCCAGTAGCCTGGT